AAGGCAGTCGCTTAACCAACTGAGCCACCCAGGCGCCCGGATATGCATTTTATAAGCATTCCACAGAAACATAAAACTGCTTCATCACAGGTATTTTTAGAATGCAAATATTTTTCTAATAGTTTGAGTTAAGAATTAATATCCTTATGAGAAAAGCTCTTATAAAAACAAAAAAATTGAATGCAATCAAAAAATGGGTCAGTAAAAAATGATATTTCACTGAATTAATACATAGCCAATGAACAAAACCAAAAAATTTAGCTTAGGGGCACCTGGCTGGCTCAGTGCAAAGAACATGTGACTCTTGACCTCAAGAGTCATGAGTTTAGGCCCCACATTGGGTGTGGAGCCTACTTCAAAAAAATAAATATTTAAAAAAATGATGTGGAAGGAATATAGTGTATGCAACTTAGTCTCGGATAGTTCAGAAAAATTGTGTGCATGTGTGTGTGTATACAGATGTATGTGTGTGTTTGCCTGTATCTATAGCTACATATAGAGAGTGCAAGAGTGTGAGAGAGTGCACATGTAAGCACACATACAAATGATAAAGCAATAGGACAAAATGTTAACAACAGATGATGCTGATATGACTACTGATCCTTGGACCACCATCTGAGTAGCAAGGATACAGAGGAAACTTAAAACTGCTTAAATCAGGCTTGTGGTAACTTATCAGTTATTAAAGTGGCAAATCTCCATAAACTAAGGCATACTTACAAAGCAAAAGGAATTTTTAATATAGGATCTGAGTTGTCAACAGCAAGGCTCCCAGATTTAAAGTGAGGACTGAACTGTGTCAGATGACTTCGAAGAATTCCAACAGTGACTTGTGCATGTGGATCAAGACTAACTCTGAAAATGTTAATTAAAAAATGGTTACTTTATAGGAATGATTTATTCAAAATTAACAGAATATGTAATCTATTTTACAAGCAAAGTCAACAGTTTGAACTCCAACATACCTGAATATAATAACACTTCCTGGAGACAAGTTTTCAAATTCTATTTCTTGAATATACTCATTGGGTCCTTTTGTGGCAACTCCAGCTTGTTTAACAATTTTACTTTCACTAAGCTTGAAAAAAATTGTATAAAACCATTCAATCAATAATTCTAATGTCCGTAAGATGTTAAACAGTAGTAAAATGAGAGTCCCAAATACCTGAATATGTTCTCTAATTTCTACTGTGATATTTGGCATTCCATTGATTGAATTCTCATCCTTCTGATAAGGTTTTGTATTTCTCTCAACAGTTCTAGCTTCAAGAACTACTTCTTCAATTTTGCCTAGGAATACATAAAAATATTAACCAAATTTCACATTAAACCATCTGAAATTAGGAATTGCTAATTCAACTTAATTAATTAATTAAACTTAAAGTTGAATATGAAATATCAGTATGAGTAGATGATTCTACCCAAGATGCATTTTTCACGCAAATGCTTTTGTTTTTAAAATCATAAATTAACAAACATCTACTTGAAAAAGATCTTATCAAGTAATAATGGCTTAGCTCTTAGGAACAATATAAATATAACCTTCCTAATTTTAAGCAGAGAAAAAATAAATCCCTTGAAAGACTTACAAAAAAAATGAAAAATTTCAGAAATACAAAAAGTAGGGAAAAATTTTAAAAAGCCAGATCCTATTTCCTAGCTAAGGAAAACATTACAAATGTGTTCCCTTTCTTCAGAGGTAACCATTACCTGCAGTTTGGTATTCATAGATCCTGTGCATTTTTTTTTTAATTAGAAAAATTATTTATTTCTGCTCCTTTCATACATCTTACTGTGCACGAAAACAGTCTTGCATACATATCTGAATAATGTACTGTCACACACTCTGTTTAAAGGCAAAGCACCATAGGTAAAGCTGATCATCCGCCCAGAGTTCTCAGCTTTTGGGATCTTGCTACCTGATTTTACACTAATTTTTGAAAGCTGGAAATGTCATCTCCAAAAAATGTTAACGGGGCTGTAAAAAATAATCACTTTATTCAACATTATAATTGTAGAAATGGAGTATATTTTAAGAAATGAAAAACTAAGAAGAAAATGTCACTTAACATCGTTGGGACATCAGCATAGGCCAGCAGGAAAAAAATACTGTGATCAGCTTGTCTCTTTGATACCAAGCAGACATTCTAGTTCAAGCAGTAATATGCTTCCGATTTTTCACTAGATGCTTCTTTTCTGCTGTTTCACTCTTTTTCCATATTTTACATCAGAGGATTGGTACAGCCTTTAAAAGTTCATTAACAGGAGCAAATCCAATATCCACTGATTTCTTCTCAAAAGGCATTTTTTAACCCATCAGATAGCCCGGCAGTTTCATTCTCATGAATACTCTAGCCATGAAAAAACTCAATAGGACACAGACGAATCCAATGAATAGAAGAAGAAATCTATTGAGTTTTGGAATGTTTGGTGCATTCGATCGGTCCAGGATTATGAAACCTAAACCTCCCATTGTAAACAGAAAGCTGGATGCGAGTCCTTCCATAATATATTGTCCATTTACTCTGTAGGCCAAGAAAGCTACTGGTCTCTGATGTCCATGTTCATCGGTCATAGAACCAACACTTGGAGGCTCAACAATAACATCATAAATTATTCCTCCGGTGATGAGGAAGTAAGACACCACCACCAGAGCGTACACCGTCATGGCCGACGGCATGTGCACCCAGGGCGGCTTCTTCAGCTTCAGATTGGGGCATTCGAGCACTAAAAACGGAACGCGGTACAAAGTCTCCATGCTGGTGGCGGCAGGGGCTTCTCTCCGATCCTGTGCATTTTAACTACATATGTCTGTTTCTCAAAACAACATATATTATTTTCCGTATTTCCAAGTTTTATTAAAGTGGATTCAAATTATATATATATATATATATATATTTCTGCAACTTGCTTTCTATTAAACAACACTGTATTTTTTAGATTTGTTCACACTGCTACATAAGCTGCAACTTATTTGTTTCAAATGCCAAATAGTATTCCATTGTGTGAATATACCAGATATATTCTTGTGCCTGTCTTCTAATGGAACATATGAGAGTTTCTCAGAGATACATCTAGAGGCAGAATTGCTGAGTCAAAGGATATATAAAACTTGAATTTTATTATTTAAGTTATTTACAAAGCCATTAATCTGACAATAAGTAACAGTACCTTTTGATCCAGAAATTCTACTCCTTGAAATAATTACTAAGAAATTGTTCAAAAGAAAAGAATTATTCCTAGTGTATATTCACTGTTAAACATACTAAATAATATATATATATTTTAAAGATTTTATTTATTTATTTGACAGAGAGATAGAGAGAGCACAAGTAGGCAGAGCGGCAAGCGGAGGGAGAGGGAGAAGCAGGCTACCTGCGGAGCAGGGAGCCTGATGCGGGGCTCAATCCCAGGACCCTGGGATCATGACCTGAGCTGAAAGCAGACGCTTAACGACTGAGCCACCTAGGTGCCCAAACATACTAAAGAATATTAAAGATGGAATACTAACATAATAAAATACAAAATATTTAACATAATGAAAACCACAATTTTGTGACAAAATGGAAATGTTTTAATAACGACCAATGACCAAAACAAAACCTGAGATATATTGTTCACACTGACTGCAACCATGTGAAACTGTGTATGTACATTAGCAACAATCAGACAAGATTACTGACTATACACTTGCAAGCAGTTAAAAATAACTAATGAACATTTAACCTTAAAACTATTCAAGTTGATAATCTCTAAAAACTGGAGTAATACATATTTAATAACTAGCAACCAACATAGAATATGATGATTTTTATGGGAATCTTCATCCCCTCAATTAATTGCCAGACTTGGACAGTTGCTATATGCACAGGAGAATGTTTTGCTATAATATATATAACAGTAAGGAAGGAAATAAAATACACACATCTAGAAAAAAAATCTAGCAATAATAAGGATATGATTTA